ATTGTGTTATGCACCTCTTTAAAGAAATTAATGATTCTCTTAGTATAGAATAACAATCAACGCAAGGCAAAAAATGTAAGAAATTAGACTTCTAAGCAGTTCTAATGACGCTGATTTGAGATTTTCTGGATTTATACCCAAAAAGAACAACACTTCCGAAATTACTGTTTAACACTAATTTTCTAGACATATTTGAATGCACCAGTTAATATAGATTTTAACTCCCAAAAATTATGAGAAAATTCTGATATGCAATTGAATATGTAATTAATCAATTGTAAAAATTCTTTACCTAGAGGATCACTATTTTACTTGGTGCACAGGCTTTGGTTTTCTCGATTTTTTTATTACAGTGACAACTCATCTCTTATTGATATATGTGGGATTCTCAATTCAGAAAGTCACATGGCAACAGTGAATTCACTGATTTAGCTTACAGTGAGCATACTCTTATGTTGTCGGTATATGCAATGGATTGTCAAGTTATGTGACTTGGTGCACAGACATTGCTTTTCTATGTTTTCTGATTATAGTGACAACTCATCTCTTATTAATATATGTGGGATTGTCAATTCAGAAAGTCACATGGCAACAGTGAATTCACTGATTTACCTTACAGTGAGCATGTCCTTATTTTGTCAGTATATGCAGATGGATTGTCAAGTCACGTGACTTGGTACACAGTATTTGGTTTTCTCTGTTTTGTCATTCTAGTGACAACTCATACCTTGTTCGTATATGTGGGATTGTGATGCAGAGGTATCTTTCTAAAGCCGTTCATAACCACCTATTTAAACGACTAAAGGTGAAGACACAACCTTACAACTCATTTCACCCTACGAAATTATCATTCATTTGTTTAAAAAAATTAGCATGGCTACACGATTCATGGGAGGGAGTGGGAATCGCAGAGGTGGTAGGAACTTGCAAAGGGGTGACAGTTCACGACGAGGAGGGGGAAGGGGACGTGGCGATGCTGAAGACGAAACAACAATACCTGTTTTAGATTATGCTTGTGGTTATCGTGATAGGTTTGGAAAGCGACATTTTTTGATGCCCAAGTATTATCGAGTTCAAGGAGGTTCATGTATGGACCCATCTGACAAGTAAACAGGATATGGTTTATCTAACGTTGCTCGTCTTAAGTGGCCTGCACTACTTATAGAGCGGGTACAGCTGGAAACCTTAAGTCGGGAAAATCAACTTAAGGTGCCAAAAGCACGTTCTGTTGAAATCCAAAAGGAAGATCCCGATAATGTTGATCGACTATGTAAAGACTACAACGTGAGATTTCTCAAATGCGCCGTAGGTTAGCCCGCGATATGCAACTATACATAGTTAAGAAGAATGCCCAGAAGAACAGAACAGAACCAAATGTTGTGGCTATCAAGGGTATCATGGAGGATCCTGAACTTATCTCTGACGCTGAGCTTTCGGATTATTCAGACTCTGAGATTGCCGATTTAAGCGCGAATTAGGTGTTAATGTCTACACTTCGGCAATATTAGGTCATGCATTAATATGTAATGTCTGTGTTAGACTAAGTGTTTCCGTAATGAGTTTGTCAGATTGTCTGTCTAATAGTTGTCTGTCTAACTGTTATGTTTATGTATTGTGTGTTCAGTTCAGGGTGTCCAGGATGTATGTATTGTGTGTTCAGTTCATGGTGCCCAGAATGTATTTTTTGTGGGAGACTTATGTCTGTACTACCTATGTAACAGGAAACTGTTACATTTGCAACTTCAGTTATTTTGTTTTCATGCCTGTATGAGTACTTAGTAAATTAGTGACTTCGTATATTATGTATTAAGTTTTATTACAAAAATGTTGACAAAATTTATTTTAGGAGAAATACACAGTCTCTTAACTTGTTCATCTTCTCAATCGTGACAACCCAAAAATGTAACCATTATTCATTGAATATAACAAATAACGTTATCATTCTTACAAAAAAATACACTACCAATTGAATAAAACAAATAATCTTTCCATTCATTCATTCATTCATTCATTGCACAACATCAGTCTTATGAAATAAGCGAAACCAATTGAATCACAATAGCATCAACTCCAATCCAATATTTACATTACATAAGTTTCTGTTTGTAATCGGAATTCAAATTACATACAAGTTACATTACATAGCAAAAAACGGAAAAAGTATCATTCGTATGTAAAAAGTACATCACCAAAATTTGAGGTCTTTCTCTTCTTCCTTCTTGCTACAGCTCTCGTGGTGGCCTTCGTCTTCTTGGCCTATTCTGCGGTGCTCTTCGTGTCTCACCCTTCGTCATTGTTCGTCGAACTGCACAGTGTCTGAGTGTGCTTCGGACTGTAGACCATGTATATCACCTTCTAACCCAAAACAAAGACGAAAGAAAATTACTCCCTCTGTCCCATAATATTAGTCCCTTATTCCATTTTTCATTGTCCCAAAATATTAGTCCCTCTTCAAAAATCAAGTACAAAAATAATATAAATTTCCCATTTTGCCCTTCTTTTAAATTCATAAATAATATAAAAAGTACAATTATGACATTGATATTCTCAAAAAAGTGTACTATCAAAGGGTAATTTTGGAAAACCAACTTTTTAAAAGTACAATAATTGTACTACCAAAAAAAGTTGGATTCCCCAAAAGGGACCATTATTTTGGGACGGAGGGAGTATTTTTTTTTTTAATGAAAACGGCTAGAAAACGGTTTTACTAAACCGGTTTTCTGAATTACATTATTACCTTCTAACCCAAACACAAAGACACAAGAAAAAATATATATATTTAAATGAAAACGGCTTTAGTAAAGCCAAAATAAATTTCTGAATAACACCTTCTAATCCAAAACAAAGACAAAAGAAAAAAAAGAAAATTTTACATGAAAACGGCTTTAGTAAAGCCAAAAAAAAATTTCTGAATTATATTATCACCTTCTAACGCAAAACAAAGACAAAAGAAAAGAAAAAAAAATTTACATGAAAACGGCTTTAGTAAAGCCAAAAAAAAATGCTTGAATTACACCTTCTAACCTAAAACAAAGACAAAAGAAAAAAAAATAAAATTTAACATGAGAACGGCTTTAGAAAAGTCAAAATTTTTTTATGAATTACATTATCACCAAAACAATGACAATAGAAAAAAAAATAAAAAAAATAAAATAAAATTTAAATGAACAGTAAAAATGTGGTTTCAATCCACCCTTAGTGTAGTGAACAGTGAAAGCGTGGTTACAATCCACGCTTATTGTACAAAACAGTGAAAACGCGATTCACAATCACATTTTCTTCATAAAACAAACTTAAATTGTATGCACAGTGAAAGCGTGGTTCGAAACCACGTTTTTTTCAGAAAACAAAATTCAAACAATATGCACAGTAAAAGCGTGGTTTGGAACCATGTTTTCTTCAGAAAACAAATTTATGTTAAAAGCGTGGTTTGTAACCACGCTTTCTTAATTAAAAGCGTGGTTTGTAATAGCGCTTTCACTATTCATCAAATTTTCTGCTCCACACAGTGAAAGCGTGATTTGTAATAGCACTTTAGCCTAGTTTAGGAAATCCGTCCAAACTAGGCCTAATTTGGGAATTAAGATAGTAAATTGGCTTACTATGGGAAAAGCCCCAAATTAGCAGCCCTTTTTGTCCTTTCCTTTTTTATTTTTTGTTTTTTTATTACCATGGCTACCCAGCCAAAATTAAGCGAGAAAAAAGACCCCACACAACCCACAAATATATAAATACATACATATATATATTCAACAGCTATGGCAAAAAGGAAACAAAAAAATTAGAGAGAGGAGATAGTGGGTACTGGCAAGAAGAAATTGGATAGTGGTGTGCGTTGGTTGAGTGGAGGAGATGGGGTAAGGTTGGTAGGTGTTTGCAGCTATGGATTGTTTGTTTGGGTCTAAATTTTAAAGACAAAAAGATCAGGGCTTTTTTGTTAATCATTCCGTTTTCAGTTTTCAGTTTACAATTTTTATTTACAAAAATTTTAAAAACTACCATAAAAACTTGTTTGATAGTTTTTTTGGTTTATAAATGGTTGTTTCAGTTTATAAATTTGAAGAAAAAACATAAACTCAAAAAATGAGTTTATGTTTTCAGTTTTCAATTTTTTTTCAATTAATTTTTTTTCAAATAATTTTTTTCCCAATTAAATTTTTTTTCAATTATTTTTTTTTTCAAATAATGTTTTTTCAATTATTTTTTTCAATTAATTTTTTTTCAAATATTTTTTTTCCCAATTAAAATTTTTTCAATTATTTTTCTTCATTTTTTTCAATTAATTTTTTTCCCAATTAAATTTTTTTCAATTATTTTTTTTTCAATTATAATGTATGTGATCCCATTGTCATAAATAATAAAAATAAATATAAATATTTTAAGTCTGAACAAACATATTTTTTAGTTTATGTTTTTAAATTTTTTTAAAAATTTTGTTCAAACCAAACGCGTTTATAATTTATGTTTTTCTAAAAATAAACAAAAACCAGTTTATAAATTTTTTATAAACATAAACAAAAAACGTAAACGTTACCAAACACTAGTGTTTGTTTGGGTTTAAATTCTAGAGGGGAAGAGATGAGTGTTTGTTTGGGTCTAAATTTTATATATATATATATATATATATTTGATGATGGTATGAAAGGTGTGTGGTTTGCCATGGGATGACAAAGAAGAAGAAGAGGAATACAAAAAATTTAAAGAAAAATGAGAATATTTTGATTTGTAATTACATTAAGAAGAAAATTAAAGAAAGAAATGAAGGTAATTTAGACTTTTTATAACTTCTGTTACGTACGTCTAAAATTACACTTTTGTATGAAATTCAAGAGTTTAAATGTTACAAATGAAACTACAAGGGGCTCTGTATTTTTTGGGTAAACCACAAAGGGTTAAAGTGTAATTTACCCTAAAAATTATTATTTAAACATTGATCAGTAGAGGAAGAGGGAGAGAGAGAGAATCCAGAAAACTGAAGGTGTAGAGAAGGGTGGCCTGACTCATCAAATTAATATATATATATATATATATATATGTCATATAGTCCAAAGGGTTTCCGACCCATGTTACATTTTTCAATTGTTTTAATCAATCAAGTTGAAGCAATTTCATTTAAATCACACATCGTGTATAGATCCATCAAAACTATTGGATACAAGTGTAGTAGTAGTAGCCCCAAACATGACAATTGACAAACTAGGAACAAAAATACACTCTTCACAAAATTTCACCCATATGCATTCTTGAATATATATATATAGTCCTTGCAAATCCCATTGGTATTTTCATACTTCTGATTGGAGGCGCAAACCATTGCAGACTAACTGAATATTCTTTTTGTAACATGCCCCGGATACTTACAGCAGATCTGCAACTAGTGGAAGTCCGATTAAAAATTTCTGCCGCTGAAGTTTAATCAAAATGTATATATGTCAATTATATAAAACAGCACAAATTGAAGACTTTAAGAGCAGGGGATAGGTTCATGTGCCATACCTTCCTTTGCATTGAAATTTTAAGGTAGCCACAAGCAAAGCATGCTTCCTGTTCACAAATATATAGCCAATATGAACAATCTGATGATCGAGCACTCAGTTGCAAACCAACTCATAGTTATAAATGAGATCATCTTACAGGGAAACCTCCATGAAGTGTATGTATAGCTAAGATCCATTCGCAAAATTATTTCTCAGAATCAAAGCAGTAATCACAGAGTTATCAATGAAGATATTACTTACCACAAATAAATACATATGAATGTACTAATCAATTGGATGTTTGTCAACTTGCCGGGATGTATAATGTGCAGAAAGTAAAAGTAGAGATAGGAAAGCACTGGCCACAAATATTGCATCAAACCACCGGTGGTAAAAATCAAATTGAATGTCACCCAACACATCTGTTATAATCATCCTGCCAAGGAATACCATTCACAAAACTAATTATTTGGTAGCTCGCAAGTGAAAACAATAAATGGACTACCAAGTACAATGTGACAAAACCAGCAAGCAGTAATTTTTCAAAATGTAATCAACAGGAATGCCAGAAGCAGATAATGCAATCAAAATCAGTTGCACTCTCTATTCAATCAAAATTTCTGATTCTAGAAACTACCACAGCAAAATTGCATGCACATAACATTTATTAAATGGTGTCCTCCAGCCCAGTATTCCACTTTTTGGTACACAAGCAAATTAACTTGATTCATTTAATGCATTGGTGGCTAATACCATCCAGACTATGAAGTTCATTTGGGTTCCACGCATATACGGTAGATTTTGTTACTGCTTACAACACCTTCAATGAACACCCTCTTGATAAATGCACATCATCAAATTTTGAAACATTAAAACAAAATGGGATCCACAACTTTTCCTTGTCACAAGGAGGGTAAAAATTCTAATTTCTAACTCAAAACAATCTACTTGTGAAAGAAAGATTTGTTACAGATGAATATGTTATAAATTGTTTATTTATTTCAGCAACACACATTGTTGATATCAACTTTTCAAGTAATTATTTCACTTGTGAAAAAGTTATGGTAGCATTTGGTAGAGTTTTCTAAATATGATTTGAGAATAAGAGTTGTATTTTGAGTTTGTGAGTTTTGAAATTATGATTTGAGTGTAGAAAATTTGTTTGGCGGATGAGTTTGAAAAGAGTTTTGAATTGAGTGAGAAATTTTTGATGTGTCATATGATATCTGATACAAAAACTTACAACTCATAACAAAACACATAACTCAAAAATCTATTAAAAGCTCATAAAAAATTTCAAAAATATTGTTTTTTTAATTTTTTTTTTTTTTTTTTTTTTTTAAAAAAAAAAATCGCACTGTTCAGGTCAACCGGCCAGATGTCCAGGGGACGACCGGTAGGCCAAATTTCAAAATTTAAAAGCCCGCCTGGAACAAGTTTTCAAAAGGAGGGGTGGAATTAATTTTCCAAAACTCAAACCAAACATCATACTAGAATGTAGGCATAGAACCATGATTCCAAAACCCTTCCAAACACAGCCATATCTTTCTGTTCTGCAGAAGCAAAAGGGATCAACCCCCAGGATCCAGAAAGATTTACACATTAGAACACTTTTTCATATCCTTCACAGTGCATGGCATTCAAACTAGCAGTAGGAATGAGCAACTTTAATGTCCTCCATAAAAAGTAACAACTAACAAAAACTAAATGCATATGATCCATAAAAATAGACAAACCATGGATGCTACACAAAGGAAACAGAACTTAGTTATGTGCAAATAATCCATATACATAGACAAACTATGCATGCATACCAAACAAACTTATCTCGGATCAATAATGACCTTACCTGTATTCAGTTGCTAGGCTTTTCCTAATCAAAAGAATAGAAGATACAAAATACATTCCCATTATTTCAGAAAGAAAAAGAACAACATTGCTTGAAGATCCACTCCCAACTCTAGAAACTGCAAAGAAGAACTGCACACAACCAACAGCTGCAGGTTAGGAAGGAAGATATCAAAAAAATTAGGACCAGCTACTTTCTTTACAAGATTTGCTAGCAGTATCCAGTGGTGTGCACAAGTATTACAATATAAGCGAATTTTCCATAGCGTTCAGTTCACCAAACATGACTTACTATGAATCTATAGTTTGGTTAAGACAATTTCAACAAACATGGGAAACAAGCATGTAAATCACGTAATTACTGCTTAAAGTAATTCAAAATCACTTTCAAAGCTATATTTTCCTTTCTCTCCATTATCTGTAAAAGCTGCATTGATCCTGTTAGAATAGTCGTCTTTTATACTATATTAGAGAGCGTACTATTATCATATTATAGTTCTAATATAAATATGTGCTAAGGTGGAAGGTTTGTTACATACCCTGATACCTATTCATTTAATTCTCCATTTCCTTCTCTCCTTCCTCTCTTCACCTCCTCCAACCCTAACTCTCATTTCTTGTATTTTGCATTCTAACCTCATCCACTCAATTAATAATCTCCCATTACCCGGCTACAGCTATCAACGAGCAAAACACATAAGCCAGCTATACCCTGAGTTTGCGGTTATAGACATCTATTCTCTTTAAACCATCTCATTTAAGGAAGGAAAGGGTCAGCTCTTCTTCAATAAGCTTTAACAAATCACATAACATCCAATTAAATGGGAAAATAGAATGGAAAATAGGATGGTGGATTGCTTTTGTGCAAGGCTGATGTGGCAATGCACATAGGAACTCAAAATTGTTAAATGAGCATAATGAAAAGAAATCGCATAGTTGTATTACCAGTGGGGTATTTTCAACCACACAAAGAAATGGTTATTGAAACAGCACGAAATTCCATATGACCCCAAGTTAACATCACAATAAAGGATGGAGTGGTGCCATCACATGGCTTCCAGATGCAGAAATTTGAAGAATTCAACATTTCCTTGAGGTTATATAGCACAGGGCTTGGCCATAAAATGGTTTAGTGGTTGACTAGGAATAGGTGGATTAAGGCTATTGGGAATAAATCAAGGCATTGGGTGATGGGAGACTGATATAGGGTGAGTAGGGATTACTTTCTTACAAGTAGTGAGCCTGGGTTAAGTATACTGGCAGCAGCAACAACAAACTTGTAAGGCTGGATTTGGTGGGATTTTGTAGTGAGCCCGGGTTAAGTATACTGGTAGCAGCAATAGTAGACTTGTAGGGTTGGATTTGGTGAAATATTGTTACTGCAGAAGTATTTAAAATATAGGAGTATAAAGGTTTGTCACTGCAGAAGTATTTAAAATATAGGAGTATAAAGGTTTGTAAAAGGGTAGGGATTTAGGAATGAAAACACGTGTTTAGGGGCAATTGGGTGGCTGTTCTAAGCACTGTGAACAGTGATGTAAACAGTGACCTTGTTGGATAGAAGAGGAAGAAGAAGAGGAAGTACTTCACCCTCACAAAGAATAGGCCAATCACACAAATACAATCTCAAATTTTCATAATATTAACTCTTCTCTTCAATCATTGAGATTACACATCTATCTATGTATCTCTCTCTATATATATATATTAAGGAAAAGAGAGTTTCTAATGACAAGGTTTGCGGGAGCTCTAACCCTCAAACTAAATTTTATAATTTTTGATTTTCAAATAATTAAAAAAAATTCTATTAGTTAAACTCTCATTTAATCATAACAATAAAATTATAATTATTCCATAAATTATGACTTTTAAAAGGAAAGTATGCTCAATTATTTCAAAATTTAAATTTGTGTGCCACTAATATGGAAGCAATTCACTAAAATCTAATTATAATAATAAAAAAACTCTAATTATTCCATAATTTATGATTTTTAAAAGTATATATATTTCCATTTCAAGATTTAAAATTATTTGCCATTAAATATGATAAACAATTCAATAAAATCTAAAATTTATAAAAACCTTTCAAATGGTCCCATTATCTATGCTATAACTAAAATAGAAACATTTTTCAAAATTTATAATTGTAGAAATTTAATGTATAAAGAGAAATAGAGAATTGTATAGATTTAGTATTTTTCGCTTTACCGGCGGGGGGGCACCCCATAATAATGCTTCTTTCAAAATTCAATATAGCAAGTTTTCAAAATTACATTTAAAAAAAAATCAAAATTATTTTTATTTATTTCCAAACCTACATACTAAATTTCTTGATTAATTTTTATTTATTTCTAAAAATAAAAAAAAATAAAAAAATTATTGGGCAACTCTTTTTCAACAATCTAATGATTTAAAAGAAAAGTATACTAACCAATTTCAACAATCTAATGATATAACTATCGAATGATTTATGAAATTTAAAAGGAAAGTCCACTAACCCATTTCAGAATTCAAAAGTGTGCCATCTAACCATTAAAAAAAATTTAATTTTCTAATAATTTATGACTTTTAAAAAAAAAAGAAAACTAAATCAATTTTTAAATTTTTAAATTGTGTATCACAAATTATGGGAAGCAATTCACATCTCCCATAAATCTTCTCTCTTGCACTCATTAGATTCAAGTCAAATTAGAGTCGGTGTTTATCAAGTGTAACTGTTAGTGATGGGAGCAATTGTGAAGAATTCAATTGATAAATTTTTTTAATGTAAGTTTATGTTTTTTTTTTTATTTTTATAAAGATAAATTTCTAATCTTTAGCCTCCGACATCCTTATTTCTATTATGCATCTTACAATTATGTTAATTTTTAAAAATTTATTGCATGCTTATTTAATCTAAGTGTATTTTTTTTAAATAAATTTCCAATCTCTTCAGTCGCGGTTCAATAGTTTAACATCTATGTTTATCAAGTGCATAAATATGGATGACAGAGGGTATTGAGAAGATGTGTATACTTATTTGCAAAATAGCTAGTAACAAATTTTCATTGTGAGTTTCGTCTTCTTTTAAAGGATGCATATGGTTATAATATTACTTACGTACTTAGGTTTTGTAGTTTACATGATTTCATATTTCAAAATTTCTATAAGATTTGCTTTTAATTTTTCAGATTTTATAGTTGGTGCATTTTTTATTGAGTAATGTTATACTTATTATATTTTTATATTATATTATATTATATTTTATTGTATGACTAAGTTTATTTGGTTGTAATTTTAAATTATAATTTATTTGATATTTGTATAGCTTATTTGGCTACAAATATAGGTTTTTTAAACTACAATTTGTAACTTATTTATTTATTTAACTTATTTGAAACCCTTGAATACATATGAACATAAGAGTTTCATATCTTTCGTCTTAGTAATAACTTTTGAGGCATTATGGATATTTACACAATAAAAATGTCATATAGATTATCAAAAGTTACACTACACCAAATAAATTTACAACTTATCTTAAGTTAATAATCTAAAATTTTACAATTACTTACAATTTATAACCATTATATGAGTCATGCCAAACATTAAACAAAGTTTAAGAAATACATGGTGCATTTGGGTTAGGACCTAAGTTACATAAGTTAAATAATGACCATGAACCTGGTGCACTAACATGTGGATAGTTTTCCTAAATAAAAAAGTACTTTTGTGCATAATTGTCAAATCGGGATTTGTACCGTGAATCGAAATGACCTCGTACCGAATCGCGAATCGAATCAAATCGTGAATCGTAAAGATTCAGTCACTTTTTCTAAATTACTTAAGAACATATATCTACATATTTAGATGTTAAATATATCTCATGAATATGAAATATTTAGATTTAAATCAATGAAAATATTATTTTCAATGATAATCACGTAATTTAATAGGTAAGAAGTTAATAAAGGTTCTTATGTAAGATCATCATCTTACCTTTTTCTTTTTTAGATATTTGTTATCAACCATTCTTAATAAATATAATGACCAAATAGACAAACTATCAATTGTCAAAGTAACAATAATTAACAACGATATTGATATTTGGACAATAAACATACATACTTTTCTAAGTAACAATGAGCAAATCATAAGAATGAATTATTTAGAATCTTTTATTTTAAAGTCTAAAAAATTTTAAAATGTATAACTAACCTCACACATGTAATATTTAATTTAATAAAATAGCAATAGATAATTAATAGTACAACTTTAATCTTCAACATCTTTAGAAGATATATTATAATTTTTTAAAGGGAAAAAATGAGAAGAAATGTTAAAAATATGTTGGGTCTAACTGAATCTGATTGAATCCTATTAAAAACTCTATGATCACTAAAATAACAACAAATCATGTATATATGTTAGTTATTTTGGTACTAAATGCTATTAGAAGTTGTATTATGTTATTTTCACTAAAAAGATGGAGAAGAAAAGAAATGAAAATATGTCGGACACAATAATTTCAAAAATTGCATGAACGTAAAAAGTGAATCAAATCATGAATCAATTGTGAATCGTGCGATTCATTAGAGATTCAATTCCAAAATAGATTCACCAATAGATTCGTATCGATTTTGCAAAAATTGCGAATCGAATCGCGAATCGTAAGATTCTGATAACAGAGCTTTTGTATACTTTTGCAAGGTATTTTGTCTCTTATCCTTGGAGTTGCTCTTACACTTCACCTTCAACCTTGTGAATATAATTAAAATATATTCAACTCAAATTATTTTTCCTTTATATTTCAAACAAAAATTTTGATATTATTTAATTTAAATTTAATTTTTGATTAATTTTTTACACCGTGCATAGCATGGGCAATATGCTAGTATATTTATAGGTTAAAGATTCTCCTAATTCTATAAGGACTATAACTCAATTTAGAAACTAAAAATATTTAGCAACTACTAATTTTCTAAACCAAGACTTCCAATTTTACTTCAATTATTATAGGAAACTTTAATGACTTCTAATTCTACTTCAATATCAAAATAGGAAACTTGGACTTTTGACTACTAAGATTATTTTAGACATAATAAAACTCATATATAATGACCCATTTAATGACACCCATATATAATGATCCGTTTAATAACTTGATCCAAAATAATAAAACCCATGGGCGACCCCTACAACCCATGCGCAACAATTATTAGAATTACCATTATACCCTTAATTACAAAAACTTACTATAATGACATAGAGACTCGAAATTATTCTAAATCTTTAATTCTTGATACCCTAAATGTGTATCGTGTGAAATTCCAAATTTGCTCTTTTTCTTCTTTCCATGATCGTCATCAAAGACAACCTAGTTTTTATATCCAAGGCTGTACCACAAGGGAAAAATGGATGGTCTAAAGATTTAAACAAAGAATAGGCTTAGGTTTGTAATAACAACAAAACTTGTGGAAGTTTCGGTACAGATTTCGAAGATAAAGACACAAAAAACAGAATAAAAGTAAAGAAATTCACAAACAAGAAAGTATATAGAGGGAAATAAAAACCCTACTCCACAAGAGCTGTTTGAGATCCACACCTGAGCTTTTAGAAGTGTTGTACACTCATATCTAACTAAGAAAAAGATTTTATTCCAATCAAAATTCATGTTGCAACAAGGGGCCCTTCACATACACATCAGAAACTTCATAAAAAATTAGCTACTCAATTTAGAAATTATGTATGACAGAAATAGCTGCTACCTCTCCCAAAACCTGCTATAAGCGGGAGACTAGTGCATGGGGTATGACCTTTATGTATGATGTGAATTCCATCAAAATAGGTAGTTTCTAAACAAAAAAATAAGCTGAATTTCAGCCCAAGATGATACTCTCGACCAACATAAGGTAAAACTTATACATAGGAAACCAAAACGGAAATGACTAGACTAATCCTAATGAAAAAAAATAATAAAAAAAAAAATTAAAGACAGCCAAACAATTAGTCCAAACTCGTAAAAATATTAAAATACCTCTATACTAAAAACTAATGCCATGTTAACATGTTTTTCTCTAGGTCCTTGCATCATTTTTTTTTGTTGGAGATAAAATAATTAAGTCATTTAACTTGGATGAAGAAATAGTTGCAAAGCATCATTATTCTCATAAGCTGTAAATGGTTAAAATGTGAACTTTCTAGTCTTGTCTTGTCATGTTCATGTCTAGTTTTTAGTTTTCAGTAGCAGCAAACAGACTTGAAACCTGTCATTCTTCTCTATAGAATCTAAGTAAATCTATCTACTTGAGTTTGCTAACCCAGTGATAGAGAAAAGGGAATGCTAAACCAGTAATAAGGATTGGCAATGCTAATTGCCTTCCCCCTAGAGAGTCCACACTCTCCTGTACCTTATCATTAAGTGCATCATGTTGGTCAGTGGTCCAATAATACAGTTCTAAAAACACAAATGTAACATCAAATTCAATCCAAAAACTACCAAAAGAAAGAATTACCTTCATTAGATTACTTAGAAATCCCCGCACAGATATAACAATCAACATTCCAATGAATAAGAGGGATATATACTGCACAATAGAGAAAGCAGAAAACGTCAGACAAATGCAGACAAAAGAAGATATCAGCTACTTTAGCCAGTAAAACATGTTTGTGAGAATACACCAATGCAACATCATTGGGTTCAAGTCTACTTAGCAGTTCAAACACCAACATGCTTCGTAATGTGATATGGTCCCAAAGTAAACGAATGATGGCCTGATATGTTTCACAATTTTTTGTATGAGGGTTATTTTTGTAATCTTTTCTATTTTTAGGGTTTTGGAGAGGGTATAAATAGAAAGTATGTCAATTGAGAGGAGGCCAAGAAGTGACAAATCCCCCCACTTCCCCCTTCTCTTCTTCTCCTTGAGGATTCAAGGCCCCCTAGAAGTTCTACAGGTTTTCCCCATTTCTTTCTCCCTCTATTCTCCTTGTAGATTCAAGGCTAGTAAACTCTAGGATTTCTCCCCTTTCTTGTGTTCTGCCTTCTCTATCCCTAATGTAGTAGAAAATGAGTCTTATACCAAGTGTCATTATCTTTTCTATTAGGTGTCCACATTAGTTGTAGTTGTTAGTGACCTTCTATAAATGGGTGATGTAACGTCAATTGTACTTAGTTTTTGATAAAAATAGTACAGAATAATGATTACAACTAATTGGTGCCGTTTCTCTATCTAACCCTAGTGGTTACCCATAGGTTGGGGATTCGCTCTCTCTTGATTTTGAACCTGATTGCAAATTTGTGTAGCATTATTTGGTATCAGAGCTCTAGAATTGGTGACTGCAGAGTTGTGTGTGTTCGATCACAACAAAAAAAAAAAACAAAAATCAAACCCTAGGTTGCAAGATTTGACTATATGATTTCGAGAACTGATTTGAAATTTGTGAAGGAGTTCTTGCCTTGTGAACTCACGGTGTTCGTATCTTGAGAATTCATTAGTTCATCTTCAACTTGATTCGACATTAGAACTTGAATCCAAATCTTATGTGACTTCGATAAAAATCAAAGCTTTGTTGTGACTTCAAAACTAGATCAACAAGTATATTTTGATTTCGTTCAAAGAGTTACAATCAAGCTTCGACATTGATGATGTCAACCCTAGCACATTACAACTTCAGAGACGAGATGGAAACATGATTGCAACACACGTGGCAATCCTTCGCAATGTTCTTTAGCTTAGCTCTAACTGGACTTTGAGTTTGCTAACCCTAGACCACCCGGGGTTTTTTGCTAACCCTAATCCAGTCAGGGTGATCTAGATTGGAACTTTGCTAAACCTAACCCTAGATCACCCTGAGTTTGCCAACCCTATATATCACCCTGGTTTTTTGTCAGTGGATCTCATCAATTGTCTCCGATTATGTTTGATTTTGATTATCACTAGCATCGATGGTTCTAGTTTGAATTCAACTTTGAGTTGGTTTCATTTCCTCTGCTTTGCGTTGATAGCTCTGTGTTCGATTGATTTGATTCAACTTGGTTCGACATCCAGAATTGTTCAATTGTAGCCCAGAATTTGTTGTCAATCTGTGCTACCAGTGTCGGAACATTGATGGTCCAACGAGAGTTTTGTCTTGCTTTGCATTTGCTTTTATTCAATGAGAAAAGGGGTAGAAGAGGTATGGGCAGAGGTCTTAAGTCATACTGCGAATTTTGGTGATGGTTCTGTTGGAAATTGAATCCACTTATTGGAAGGAATGATGCTCATCCAAATCAAAATCATAATCAAAGAGACAAGATGAAGCAAATGAGAAGAAAATTTGTTTCCGTAAAAGAGGTAGTGCAACAATTGCAGCCTCTTACATCAGATAAAGAAATTTTGGATCATATGAAGTTTTATGTTTTGCTACTCCTCTATACTCTCCATTAGAAGTTGTTTTGGTTGAGTAAGCTGCTTGATGCAAACATCATTTTGAAGATTGTGTCCAGGGGTTGGAAGCTAGAAGTTCAATGTAGATTTCCATCTCATGATCAGACTTCTCAAGCATTACTATTGTTGGATGGGTTGTCATTCTGTTCACATTAGTCTTGTTTTTCTGGGAGCACTCTTCTGCAAGTGGTGAAGGGGCTTGGGAAAGTGGAGGTCTGTCAAAACTCGACCAAGAGGATATGAGTACATGACGAGGTTGCCATATCTGCACTTGAAGTTGTTCAGCCAAGGTTGAAAATTCTACGTCTTAAAGGGAGCATGTATTGTGAGTATCATTTTTTTGCAAAAAAATGCAGTAGATACAACTGAATGTTTGCACTTCTTCTCCATCTGAAAATGAAGTTGCATTGCGTTGCTTAGTTGTTGCTTAACTTGATGACAAGTTCTTTTAGGGCAGGAGTGCTGAGGTAGTACAAAATGAGTCTTACGCCAAATGTCATTAGCTTTTCTATTAGGTGTCCGTATTAGTTGTGGTTGTTAGTGGCCTTAGTCTATAAATGGGTGATGTAACCTCAATTGTAATTATTTTTGAAGGGGGGGAAAAAAACTAATATTGATTAGAGCTAATTGCTCTGGTTTCTATCTCTAACCCTAGGGGTTATCCCTAGGTTGGGGATTTGCTCTTTCTTGATTTTAAATCTGATTGCAATTTTGTGTTGCATCAATCCCTCAATTTACTAGCCAGTGTATCAGAATATATGTATTTGTGACAAACAAATCAGTCATGCATGACACATCATATTATTCTAGCATTTATGCATTGTGTTATATGCTTTATGTGAATTAGGGTTTAGAAGGAAGTGTAGGAAATTATTTGGTTTGTGTTTTGAGTTAGGGAAGTTACCTTGAACTTGGATATTGAATACTTAGATGATTCAGGAAACCTTAAGTGAGGAGCTTAATGATCTTAATCTAATGAGTAGAGGTTAATGATCACTTCATTTAAAATTAAGCGAGATTAGCAAAAGTTAACTAGGATTAATTAAAGCCTAATTAGACTAATGAAGATTAAGGACTAAATGTGATTAATTAGAGTTAAGCTTGGTTAGTTAACTAATTAATTTTTGGTGATGCACACACACACCTCAATTTTCATCAAACAAAATAGAATAATAGAGAAAGTTAGAGAAGAATAGAGAGGAAGCTAGAGAAGAAGAAGAAGAAGAAGAAGAAGAAGAAGAAGAGGAGGAAGAAGAAGAGAAAAAGGAAGAAAAGAAAAGAACTTCAAAATTTAAGCTCGGAAAATCAAGGAAAAACAATTTCTAGGTAAGAAATCCTACCCTTCATCTTTTGTTATTGTTATAAGCTAGCTAGAAAATCATCTAGGATAGGTTTTGAAGGATTTAAGTTAAGAGTCTTGGAGAAAGTTTTGGAAAATAAAAAGGTTTTGAAGAATTTGCAAGAAAATCATGTTTTGATTGGTTTAAACTTTGAATTCATTGCATACAAATGTTTTTCTACAAAACCCACATCATTTATTCATGTTTGGAAGTCTTAAAATCTTGTTTTGAAGGATTGAAAATGAAGAAATAAAAGAAAGTGTAAGAAAGAAACTAGGTTGAGAAATTCTTGAATCAAATCTTGATTTTGGTTGGTTTAACCTTGAATTCATGCATTCAAATGAGTTTTTCATGAATCATATAATGCGGCAGACCTCATTATACGCTTGCCTCATCAACACTTGTATGCTTGTTTGTGTAGGTCAAGCGTTCCAGAGGAAAACCCTTTCATTCAAAGAGCCGTTTATGAGTAGTAGTGTAGTAAAATTATGTTTAGTAAGTTATATTTCAAATGCAAACCTATGCTGAGCGGAATTTCTAGGCTTAACAAATCTACACAAGCGCATTTGCCAGCACATTTACCCAATTTCATCCTTTTCGATAGTTTTGATGCACCAGACCTCATTATACGCTTGCCTCATCAACACTTGTATGCTTGTTTGTGTAGGTCAAGCGTTCTAGAGGAAACCCTTTCATTCAAAGAGCCGTTTGTGAGTAGTAGTGTAGAAAAATTATGTTTAATAAGTTATATTTCAAATGCAAACCTATGCTATGTTTATGAAAGTCAAGCTATTGTTTTGCCATGAATGAACATCCTATATTCTTGTATCAGATATTAAGATGACACCTCGGAAGTTGTCTTTGTTAACTGAGCTCCTATTGCCACCATTGTGTGGGTCTTGATACACTCAAAGCCCTTGGAATGTTCATCGCTATGTATATGCTTGCGAGTTAAGCTTTGTTCTATCATGATCAAATTATGCTATGTTCAAACTATGATCTTGTGCTTGGTTTTGTTAAAGATTATCGGTGTTTATTCATTACCACTTTACTATATTACTATTCATTGGGCTACGCTCACCCCTCTTCCCTATATGTATGTAGGTGATAAAGAAGTGCACAGCCAAGAAGAGAAGTCGGTTTAGAAGTCTTTTCTTTTCTTTTCTTTTTTTTTTGTTTTTGTTCCTCGAGTGATGTACCCTTAAGAAGACAACTTTGTCATGTGTTTTGGTTTGTAAGCTTGTATCAAAGATGTTGCATTTTCTTTTCCTTCTTGTTTGGACTTGTAAATATTAAGATAATAATATGAGAAGTATGCTTGTTATGTTTTCATATGACTTATGCACATGCTTTGAATAGACTTTTGATCATTCATGGACAAATGATTCCGCATAAACCCCAAGTATTGTTAGTCCAGTCTTGTCTTGTCTTGTTAGGCCTTCGGTAGTTGAGAACTACTGGCCGGTCACAATGCTATCCTATTTGGGGTGGGATGGGGTCATGACAGTTTTTGAGTAAAATAAATATACTGCAGTCCATGTTTAGTTTTGTATTACTTTTCAGGTTAGATTGGTATTGCCCCAGTTAATATCAAAACCTAAGCTCCATAAGCTCAATTTGTACCTAAATCTGTGGTACTTCTCTGCTGCTTCCACAGCCCCCACTGCTACTGCTGCTGCATCTACTTTGATGTTTCTTCTTCTTCTTCTTCTTGAGTTTTTCTCACTTCCTCTCTCTAGGAATTTATATATTTTCTCTTTCTTTTCACTTGTCTCTAAAGAAAGTAACTATCAGCTTCTCCACCTTTTTAATTCAAACCTCTGACACTAGTTATCTATTCAGTCCTATGTATATATAGATATCAGCCCTAATCCCACTTTCTTCCCACAAAATTTTTTTTGGCGGTCAAACCACCTTTTCAATTTAAGGCTTTTCCCCTCTCTTTTCTCTAAAAAGTAACAACCAGTGTGTGAATGGAGAAGGGCACATGTGCCCATCGTAGCTTTTGATCTTTGTTTCTTTTTGACCTTCTTTTAACCCATCTGCTGCTTTGACTCAAAACATGTTAACCCAACCTAAAACAAACACAAAAAACTGACCCATTAACCAAACCCAAACCTAAGCCCATAAACAGTGCCAACCCATGGATAGTGGTAAACCGAAAGATAAAAATAAAAAGATTCAGCAAAAAAAAGAGTCAAAAAAATTTCAGCACTGTGATGCATATTGGAGTATGAAGCAAGAAGCACATTTTTGAATCATTCCAACGCCTCTTAAAAACTCGAGGATGAGTTTTTTTCCAACAAGAAGGGTTTGATGTGATATGGTCCCACAGGACAAGAATGATGGCCTGATATGTTTTGTAATTTTTGTTATCTTTTGTATTTTTTTGGATTTGAATAGAATAAATAGGACTTAAGTGTCTGAATTGAGAGGAGGTCAAGATATGAGAAACCTTTAGGTTTTGTTAGAGCTGTGGTTCCATGTATCCCGCCCCCTTTTTCCGTTATCTTCTCTTCCTTGTGGATTCAAGGCCCCCTAGGGTTTCCCTCATTTCTTTCTCCCTCAATTCTCTCTGTGGATTCAAGGCTCCTAGTCAACTCTAGGATTTCTCCTCTTTCTTCTTATTTCTGTGGAACTTTCTCGGTTACATCATCATGTCAACAACAGAAGGCACCAACCCTACTAATTGGATTTTGCTGTTCAACTGCTGCAACCTAGGGATTCAGAATGATTGCTTTTTATTCTTATAAACCACCAACTTCTTATTCTTTTAGAAGTTAACCTATATGTTTTTCATTATTATACAGATACATGATTCGTGAAACAATGATATGAAAACTTAATGAACTTGTTGAAAGATTTACGCACTTTAGAGTGACACTTTTACAATTAACATTGCACATTTCAAATGGAAAATACACAAAAAATCTTGGTTGGGGTACTTAGTATTTAACAGTACCTATAGTTTTCTTATCTGCATTTAATAGTGCTCAGCTTAAAATAAGCCCACAAATGAGCTAGTGCTTAAAAAAGCTAGATTGTTTGGCACATTTTTGGCCTTTTTGGCGGGAATGGAAGAAGGCAAAAGAGCTTGGGCTTTTAAGCTGAATTGGCTTTAAAAAGCAGCTTATAATCTCTTCCCAAAGGAAGTCTTCCAAGAATTTTCTTTGCATTGAAACCAAAAAGCAGGTAATTATATAATTACATATGAGTGTAGTATAACAGAAGTCCAAACTTTTTGTTCTTCTACAGCATTTGTTACATATATCCTCAATAATTCCAGGATACATCCACCACAGAATTTTGGTTGGAAACACATCACAAAATATTCATACAAACATGTTGAAAATTATACACTAATAAACAATAAATAAAAAAAAATGAAAAATTTAACATGCTTGAAGATTAAATTTGTGTCTTACCATAAAGAAAAGCATAAATCAAGATTAATGTAGTTGAAGTTACATGAAATGTGTGGGCTGTGACTGTCCAGGACCCACACACTTACTAGGGCTTACTAACTGAAAGCACTGTATTGGTGGCAAATTTCCTAACTAGGTGGGTTCAAATTATTTTTATTTTAACATTACTAAGATGGAAAATAACACCCACATATGCCACAAGTGGGTCAGAGCGACAGACTGCATTATACTCCAATAACTCAAGAAAATAAGGAAAAACAAACCTGTGATAATAAAGCAGCATTAATACCAATATCAAAGAACTGCAAGAATATGCTAATTGTCTTAGTCACGGGATCAACTGAACCAGCCTGCCAAAGAAAAGCAGAGTATGAAAGCATACTACATTTGATATGATTGTGCAAAATGTCAGAAGGATATTTGTTAATTCACATTACAGAATTCACAAAGATAGAACTCAATTTACAAAATTGAGCCATTCCATCCAATGAAGGAAAAAAAAGTAGTACCTCCTTAAACACAACGCTCTGCAGAGACTGCACAAATCAATTAGATCAGTTGGTACCCTCATATTTCATGGATCAACAATCAAAACAAGGAAATCAAGAGAACAATTAATAGGGAAAACAAATAATCTTGATTGCATTGAAAGGAAGAGAAAACATCTGAGACATGATAAACTATTTTAGCAGCAGCCCAGATATGTGTGATCAAAATGAAAGGGGCAGACATGGCAGCCTATCAAATAATTTAACACCCAAATTAGATTCTCCGTGTTTTTCCTTTTGTTTTCAGCTTTTAATTGAGCAATATTAAATTTTTTCAACAAGCAGAGAACCTATTCAAGGCACCAAAAGCGGCAATCTTTGTACTTGAGTTATATCAAATTTTTCAAAAATAATAACCAATTGCATAAATGCCTATGAAAAAAAATCTCCAAGCAATACTTAAGATTACAGCCAGATCTAACTTCACATTAAAAGAGAAGTAAAATCTAGCACATTGTTGGAATGAATGCTGCAACATGCATATGCATGTGCACTCGTGCATGCACATCAGGAAAAAAGCAAATAAAACAATAAGATCAAATCCTTGATCTACCAAGCTTTTCAAGACATAATATTAAAATGTCATACCTTTATCATTTTATAAACACAATATACAGAACATGCATAGCCCAGTAGATTTTGCATGTGACCCTTCCAGGTCCGTGAATAAGCCGCAGCTTCCTGAAAATCATGAGCCAAAATGAATACAGATCTCAACAGAGAGAGAGACAGAGAGAGAGGGCAGAGAATGGTTACGAAATTAACAACCAATTACACCAACAATGAAAGATGATGGCGCCGACCATGAGGAAAGGTTTGTAGCTAGATGTAAGAATAGGAAATTTGATTTTGACAATTAAAAAGAAGAAAAAAGAAAAAGAGAAGACATAAAACACAAATCAAACTCACACACAAGCAAATATTCCACCTTATTGTCATGTTACACAATGGCACAAATAATTTGTACATGCTGTACATGGTGAATTATGCATTTGCCTTGTGCTTAAATGATCCAGTCTCCAAGTATCCAAAATGAGCAAGGAAAAAAGCCTTCATAGATATGAATAAGAAAGGAGAAGTGAAAAGAAAACAAAGCAAGAGAGAAAACACCAACATCAATGAGGAGGGTGTGCTGACTTCCTTCTCATGGAAACCTTTTAAAGCAAGACTACATGTTCCAAGTTACATTTTTTCTTTTTGATAAATACATGTTCCAAGTTACATTTATTAGAATCATCTTATAATCAAAGAAAATCAAGATATATAATTAATTGTACTGATAAAAGTATAAGCATGATATTTTAAATTATAAATATTTTAATAAATCTAAGATTACAACTTCTAATTTTTAATGACTTACGAAGATAAATTAGGGTGATTCCCTAAAATTTGACATTATTTCTGAATTCCGATAAAATTTCTCTTCAATCGCCTATATGTGTATATTATATTTGATAAGTAAAGATTGCTAGTTCTTATTCTTAATCAGACTTCGGTGAAATTAATTATTTGAAAATTGCTAGTTCTTATTGTGATGTAAACAATAAAAGGTGTCTTAGGTGGAGTAAACTACCCCCAGGTACAGAAAAATGGCCAGAAGGATTTCATTAACACACCCAAGTTAATTAGTACATGGCTCTTCAAGCAGGTATTGAAGGCTGTATTTCTTGAAACTATTTGCTTCCAGAAGAGCAATACAATGCATGTTGCTCAATTGAAAATGGGTTTGATATCTCCCAACACATTTCAAAGGGTAACTAAAAAGGATATACTTTATCAGTTTGTGAGTTTGACTAATTTCGTTCGAAGTATCCTGAATCCATTTTTTACATTCAAAGCATTAAAATCTCACAGTAAAGCAGTACCCACAAAAAAAAAAAAATAGCATAACAACAAACTATGTATGATACAAACCAATTGGGTTGTCCCAGTTGGCCAGGCCTATGATTATTCCCATATAAGAAGTCATGGGTTCAAACCTCAAGGGTGGACCAATGGTTTAAAGTTCCATTCCTCACTCCCCCATGAGGCCACTCGTAGGACTTAGGCCTAGTAATTACCTGGTATATGTGAAATGGAGGGTGTAATTTCAGAGAATTCATAGCTTATTAACCAATCAACTATTACAAAAGAAAGTCCTAAGGCACCGATTAAGGAATCACAATCAATCTATCAATCACAATATAATCTAAATAAGGAAATATTCTAACAATCCCCCTCAAGCTGGTGCAAAGATATCTCATGCCCAGCTTGTCTAAAATGTCATGAAATGGTTTACTCTCAACTCCCTTGGTGAGGATGTCTGCAAGTTGTTTGCCTGACTTCACAAAAGGAGTATGTATCATGCTGCTGGTGAGTTTCTCCTTGATGAAGTGATGTTCAATCTTAACATGTTTTGGCCTGTCATGTTGAACACGATTGTGAGCTATGTTGATGGCAGCCTTATTATCACAATATAGTCGCATAGAGTCTGTCTGGCCCATCCCCAGATCACTCAAGAACAATCTGATCCACAAGAGTTCACACACACCTTGTGTCATAGCTCTAAACTCAGCTTCTGTACTCGATCTAGCCACCACATTCTATTTCTTACTCCTCCAAGTAACATGATTACCGCCCATAAAGGTACAATATCTTGATGTAGATCTCCTATCAATTATTGACCCTGCCCAATCAGCATCTGTATAGGCTTCCACTTTGACGTGATCATGTTTGGAAAAGTAAAGACCCTTTCCAGGAGAAGATTTCAAGTACCTCAAAATTCTCATAACAAACTCTAAGTGAATTTGATGAGGAGCATGCATAAATTAGCTAACCACACTGACACAATAGCAATATTAGGACGAGAGTGAAATAAGTAAATGAGCTTACCCACTAGTCGCTGATAACTCCCCCTAATCAACAGCTGCTCCTCTTTCATCATCACTAAGTTTTTGATTAGGTTCCAGTGGGGTATCACCGGCCTTACATCTAGGCATACCTGTTTCCTTCAAAAAGTCAATAGCATATTTCCTTTGTGAGATGAAAATCTCATCCTTAAAGCGAGCAACTTCAATTCTCAGAAAATACTTTAAGTTTCCCATGTCTTTGATTTCAAACTCACTAGCTAAATATTTCTTCGACAAGAGTATTTCCTCACTATCATCACCTGTAAGCACTATGTCATCTACATAAACAATGAGGGTTGTAGTCTTACCACGTGAGGAATGTTTCACAAATAAAGTATGATCTGCCTAACTTTGTTTGAAACCATATTTAAGCATAGCCTGAGTGAATCTCTTAAACCAAGCCCTTGTAGACTGTTTGAGACCATATAACGACTTCCGAAGTCTGTAGACTTTCTGCGTTATTTGATGACCCTTAAAACCAAGAGGAATGTCCATATATACCTCTTCTTTTAGATCACTACATAAGAAGGCATTCTTTACATCAAACTGATAAAGTGGCCAATCTAAATTAGCTGCTAGAGAGAGAAGTACTCTGACTGAGTTCATCTTAGCCACTGGTGCAAACGTCTCCTGATAGTCTACTCCATAAGTTTGAGAGAAGCCTTTTGCCACTAGTCGAGCCATGTAACGCTTAATAGAACCATCTACTTTGTGCTTCACAGTAGACACCCATTTGCATCCCACCGGTCGTTTGCCCTTAGGTAACTCATTTAATTCCCAAGTACCATTCTTACGAAGTGTTTTCATTTCCTCAATCATGGCAAGTTTTCACTCAGAGGTAGTGAGAGCATCCTGAAAATGGTTAAGAATACTAACAAAGGAAATGTTTGACACAAATGCTCTGTACGAGGAGATAAATAAGAGTAGGACACAAAGTTTGAGATAGGATATTGAGTACAATATCTCACACCCTTTCTCTTGGCAATAAGAAAATCAAGATCAGTAGTGTTAGGAATAACAATATCAGTAGACTCGAGAGAAACAAGAGGTTCAGAGTTACATGGACTCTTATCAAAAGCAGGAGATGGCAATGGGTGAGCAGAAATGGTCCTTGCATTCAAGTAACTTTATGTCTGTCTTTGATCCTAACATAAACTTGCCCTTCCATGTCCTTGGTGGTATTGGGTTCTATATTCTCAGTAATAGGTGGTGCAGAAATAACTGGTTCCACCATAGGAGCAACATGGACACCAGGAACCTCTTCATACTAAGGCTTCCCTTGAAGGGAGAACTGGGACATCGGAGAAGACAAGAAATAGGACTGGGACTCAAAGAATGTGACATCCATGGACACAAACTGTTAGAATTTACCATCACCTACCACCAATTTACCATCACCTACCACCACCTACTCCTCACCTACCACCTCACCTACTCCACTAAACCTAACCCACTACACCACTACCACCTCACCTACTCCATTAAACCTAACCCACTACACCACTACCACCTCCACTTCACCTACTCCTTACCTACTACACACTCACCCTCTTCTATATATAGGAATCATGAATCATTGTAATAGAAATCAAAATTATATCAATCAATAATACAATTCTCTACTTCTTTTTATACATCAATTCTAACACAAACCACTTACAAGAAGGAAAGTGATAACACTTATACCCCTTTTGAGTAGGTGAGTATCCGAGGAAAACACACTTGAGAGAGCGAAGGTCTAACTTACCACGAGTAGGAGAATGATAATGAGATAGGCCACGGTGAGAACGACCTCGCCCCAGTAAGATTGAGGCACACTCATAGAAAGACACATGCAGCGAGCCATATCAAGAAGATAACGATTTTTGCACTCTGCAACCCCATTTTGTTGAAGGGTATTGGTGCAAGATGTCTGATGTATAATGCCATGAGTGGAAAAATAGCTCTCTAACCCCGAATTGATGTATTCACCCCTATTATCAAAACGCAAGAGTTTGACAACTACCCCAAACTAAGTACAAATCATTTTATGAAAATTTTGAAACACTAAGAAATTCTCACTTTTTTCTTTCATGAAATATACCCAAGTAGTACGAGAAAAATAATCTATAAAGATAACAAATCATCCATGGCTTTTTAAAGACACAACACGAGATGGACCCCACACATTAGAATGCATCAAAAAAAAAGGAGCTAAACTTTTATTAAGACTTAGAGCAAAAGAAGCTTTGTGTTGTTTGCCACGTTGACAAGACTCACAAAGAAACTCAGACACATTATCGTTTGTAAAAACAAATGGAAATAAATGCCTAAGTAAACGAAAAGAAGGATGCCCAAGAAGCCGAAGCCATAGCCATAAATCCTCCTTGGTGGTTGGAAACTGAATGGAATGATGAGCAAGCTTGTTCATCTGATCTAAGAAATAGAGACCATTTTCTGCACTACCACTGCCAATCGTCCTCGTGACAAGATCCTAAAAAAAACAATGGTCAGGAAAAAATGTCACACTACAGTTCAAATCCTTAGTGATACGACTCAAGGATAAAAGATTAATAGAAAAATTAGGACCGTGAAGCACTGAAGACAGAGGTAAGATAGGAGTGACATGAATTAAACATTTCCCAGAGATAGAAGAAATAGTATAATTTGCAATCCTAACTTTGCCTTGACTTGAAGAGGGCTTATATGCTGAGAAAAGGTCAGAAGGCCCAGGCATAAGATCTGAGGCACCAGAATCAATAATCCATGCAAAGACTTATGAGAAAGAAAAGCACTAGGAGAAGAGGCTAAGTTACCTAAACGAGCAAACGACGATGAGGATGCACTAGGAGCAGTAGAAGACCGATGGTCCAACAAATGACGCAGAACATCTTTGAGCTCAGGAGAAGCCGTACTAGATAAGCTATCAGAAGTTGGACCAACTGAAGCGGAAGTAGAATCAAGAGTATCAACAACACTAGACTGATGGACGCGTGAAATAGAGCCACATCCTCTAGACTAGCCTGATCGATCGCCTTTAGTACCATACCGATCACTCCGACTCCCTGATGGAGCCCTATGAAGCTTCTAACACGTTTCACAAGTATGCCGCGGCTTGCGGCAGTAATCACATGCCACAGTATCTTTCCCTGAAGAATGGAAAAAAAGTAGCGACAAACTAGCCCCATCTCGAGAAGGAGCAGAAAAAAAGGCTGAACGGTCTCCAATAGCCGGTCATAACATAGCAGAACGACGACTCTCCTCATTATGTACATATGTAAAGGCCTCATGAAGAGGTGGAAGAACATCCATGCCAAGGACACGACTCCGAACTGGATCAAACTCCATATTGAGGCCTTCTAGAGACTTAAAGACCCTCTCCTGTGCAAGAAACTTCCGGTAACCGAGTTCACTGTACAAATAGGTTTGTAATCCAGGATATGATCTAGGCGTTTCCAACCATCAGTCAGAAAGGTGTAATACTAGAGAACTGTCTGCTCCCCTTGTACTGAGCGCTCAATAGACCGGTGCAACTCAAAGATTGAGAAAAAATTTCTTTCCGAAAATATGTAGCAGTGACTGCTTCCCAAATATCCTGGATAGTATTCATGAATAAGTAGCCTTCACCAATCTCAGGAAACATGAAATGAATGAGCCACCCCATGATTAAAGGATTGGTAATCTCCCATTGGTCATAGCCAGGATCCATAATACCTGGTGCTTGAACTCTCCCATTAACATATCCCATCTTCTCCTTACTTTTCAGAAAAAGTGTCAGACACTAAGACCATGAAAGGTAATTCTGACCATTAAACAGAGCAGTGGTGATTTTGAGGCTAGGGTTCAGGTTCTCATATGTAGTAGTTATAACTGGACTGGAGCTCTCCCCTTTAGATGGGTGAGAAGTAGTGGTGGATTCACTAGTTAGGTCAACCATAAGAACTCTACAATTTCAATCCAAAAAACCTTGCATGAATCACAAGAATGAAAAGAGGAATGGAATGGGCTGGAACAAGCAAAATCACATACATACCACCATGGGAGCATAACAATTAGATTAATGGGTCATCTATGGACCCAACAAATAAATCAAACATGGGAAAACGAACCTCCAATCAAAACAAGTAGTGAACTATGTTCAAGAAAGTAGAGGGAAAGAAACTTGGGGCAACAGAAGATGGGCAACCCTCAAACACTCATCTATAAGAGCCGAAATATACAAAGAAAGGCTAGGACAGCCCGCACAAGGGTCGACTAGGACAAAGAGCCCTTCTACTGACTTTGGCTATGCTTCGGCTAGGCTAGAAGGGGCTTCGGCTAGGCCAAATGGGGTTTCGGCTGAAGTCGAAACAACTCTGTGGGACCTTGGTTGGTTTTGACAGAGACTCAGAGACTACCGGTGGAGGATGAATGGTGATAGGTGATGGCTGGTTGGTGGCAGCGGCTGTGTGGGTGATGGTTTTTACGGTTTTGGCTTTGATACCATGTAATTTAAGAGAATACATAGCTTAGGTGATGATTATGATATCACCACCTTTTATATTAATCAATCAACTGTTACAAAAGGAAGCCCTAAGGCATTGGTTAAGGAATCACAATTTATGAAGCACGGATACTCCAAAATGGCCCCCATACGCATATTGGATACGGATACACGTCCGAGACGGCGGGATACGTATCAGATACGGCAAATAAGCATTCTGTTTTCTTTTTTCTTTTTTGAATTTCGGATACGTTTGGGATACGCGAGGATACTTTAGGATACGCTCTGGATACTTTCGGGATATGACGGGGCCAAAAAATAATTTAAAAAACTTGTGACAGGGGTCAAATTATAAAATAAGAAAAGTTATGTAAAATAAAACAAAAAAAAAAAAAACAAAACAAAACAAAACAAACCAAGCCCTAATTCATCATCTCACACACAGCAGCAAAGGAGGAGGAGGAGGAGGAAGAGGAGAAGTGTGCCCCAAAGTGACTCCTCGTCGTCGATCGATCATCATCATCACGAACAACTGCGTCGTTGGCTCGTCATCGTCGATCGATCAGGTTCGTCCCCCCCTCTCTCTCTCCCTCTCGCTCGATCTCACTCTCTCTCTCTCTCTCTCGATCTCTCTGGAGACTCGATCTCACTCGCTCTCTCTCTCTCTCTCTCTCACGCTCGTCTCCTTCTCCCTTCTTTTTTTTCTTGTTCTTTTTTTTTTTTTTTTTGAAATGGCTCTGATCTGATCTGCTATTTTTATAATACATTTATATATAATATATATATATATATATATTTTAAATATAATCTTTATTCTTTAAGTTCTATAAAATGAAATCAATATTAAATTTGAGATTGTAGGGCAAATTTTTATGTATGCTACATTACTAAAAATTGTTTAAGTTTTATTTTTATGTGTACCACACATTACTAAAAATTGTAAAAATAATATTTTTTACAAACGTATCCCCGTCGTACCCGTACCCTAGTTTTTCAAATTTTGTCGTATCGCTGTATCCGTATCGTATCATACCCGTATCCGTATCCGTATCCGTGCTTCCTAGATCACAATCAATCAATTAATCACAATCTAATCTAAATAAGGAAATAAGGAAATATTCTACCAGAGGGACTATATGTGCCAAGTGATTAGTCAGGGCAAAGCCCCAAAAACCCTCATGAGCCAAAAAAAAGAAGTATGATGCAAACCCATAATAATTTTTAAACTGATTTTGTTAAAATTTACCATCACCTACCACCAATTTACCATCACCTACCACCACCTACTCCTCACCTACTCCTCACCTACTACACTCACCCTCTCCTATATAATGAGCCACTATCCGTATCCGTATCCGTGCTTCCTAGATCACAATCAATCAATTAATCACAATCTAATCTAAATAAGGAAATAAGGAAATATTCTACCAGAGGGACTATATGTGCCAAGTGATTAGTCAGGGCAAAGCCCCAAAAACCCTCATGAGCCAAAAAAAAGAAGTATGATGCAAACCCATAATAATTTTTAAACTGATTTGTATCAATTCTAACAATATAAGGATATGAGACCAAAGATATATAAATTTGTAGCTGCACAAACAAGATTACATCAATAAAATTAAACCTTAGCTTGGCGAAGCTCATATATTTCCAAGAATAGCTGCTTTGAAAGCTCTTCCAAAGCCTGAACCTCTGCTTCCATGCTTTTAATATCTTAAAAGAGCAAGAAGACAACATCAACAGAAAAAGTAAAAAATATACAACAAAATTTGGAATATGATCCAAGGAGATGAGAACTTAAGTAGGAAACAAAGAAACAAAAATTAAATTCAGAAAGGTCTAAAGAAATACGACAGGCCCTTAAACTGAAAAAGCAACAATCTGCAGTTTCTTTGCTTACAAAAAATTCCAATAATACAATCATTAGTTAGCAACTCTCCGGTAAAACAATAGAACACTGAATCTTGGGTTGCTTAATGCTTTCCATGATATGCGAAAATATCATCTCTCATGATTTAAAATGCGGCAGTCATCTTGCTGCTTAAAATTGCGATAAAGGCTTCTTGAGTCAAGTTAAGTTGAGTCACCTTGCTGCTTACCCTGCTCGCTGATTGGAGCCGAAACATTAAACATTGAGGCCCTCCAATCTGCATTTTTAGTCCTCGATCCTATGTTACTTGACATAATAATGAGTTTTTTGTGTCATGTAGGTTCATTGGGCACCAGAACTAAAAAGTGAGAAAACTGGGCGAAAAAGAGTAAGAAAAGGGATCTGACTCAATCCACTCGAGCAGGACCCATGAACTGCACAAGCAGCCCAACTTAAAGCAAGAAACAGATCTGCTTTAATCTGCTCAAGCGGACCATTCAGGCCACACGAGCGGATTTACCACCTTTTGCGGTGTGTGACCTAAAATATGGGAATGTGCTAAAAAGTATAAGAAAAGGCTATAAACTCAGTTTTAGGGTTCCGAAACCTTGGAAAAGATGGCATGAAGCTAGAAAGGTGCTCCCGGACATCAATGCATGGCGTTTTCTTCAGCCTTTGAGGATTTCACATCTCCATGAGTGGCTAAGCTCTCTTCTAAGTATCAAGATGAAGCCCTAGTCAAGTAATCATGTAATCGTGTATTTTGAATTTTACTTTTTTTTCCCAATTGGATAATCATTGTATGACCTTTTTAGATCTTTTATTCAATTAAAGTTTCATTCAATTAATGTGTTTGATTTTGGTGATTGAAAATGCATGATCATACAATTATTTTATCTATTATATATACAAAGTATGAGACAAGTCATGCCTAGGAGAGATGAATTGTGCTACAACCCTAGTTTAGTGTGGACAATTCGTGCCGACCAAAGATACTTTGTGCTTGCAATTTGAGGCAATGATTCGCAATTGGCTAAAAGAACCAAAAAGCAAATACAAAAAGTCAACCCATTCTCTCTACTTTTTTGCATGTCTTTTCGTAAAAAAAAGATCAAAAGCTACTAAAAAAGCCAACTCCCAAATGAACCTAGAATATACTCATCTTCTTGATGATGATATCAGAGCTTGTAACTACAATACATCATCATTATCCAGGACATTGATTTACTAAGATCAGATACACAAATTATATTTTATGAGATTAGCGGTGGATTAGAAGTCCTAAGACTCTCTCCACTTCAGAGCAAATCAACTTTATTTACTTAATTAACTTAGTCATTACAGTTTGGTTTATTAGTTTAATTCAATCCATAATCTTTTGATCTAATTAATTTAAGAATTGCCATCCAAATCGATATAACTTAGCCCATTGGTACGATACATGGATGAGCCACTATTCTACGGAATGTGTCAAGTAAGGTTCTTTATTTTTTTATAGAAAAACAACTGATCACACACTAAGCACATCTTTTGCCACTAATCTGCCCAAGGCCTCACCACTGAGAGAGACAACTAAATCATTTACTTTGTTGAAATCCATACAAATCAAAACCATCTGAACTGACAAAACATTTAGTTTTTGAGTTGTATATTTTGAAAGTAATTTTTAGATCCATACAAATTGAAAACTTATTTAGAGATGAAATACTTTAAATAATTCACCTACAAAGAGAAATACAGAAAACATAATTACAAGTAAAAAAGTTGCTGACCTTGCTCCTTTTGGTCATCCTGCACAGATCGCACAACTGTGCCAACAATCCGTTTTAGGAACGACCTAGCCTTTAATTTCTGCAACATATAATTGTTAGTGAGGTACAATCAGTGTTACCAGAAGAAAAAAAAAAAACTAGCAATTGAACAATTTTGGAACACATGTTCAGGAACATGGTACACTTTCATTCTAAAACAGTGAACTTAGTGATCTAAAGTGATCCCATTGGCAAACAAATTGTACCAGCATATCAGGAGCATCAACTACAGCTTTCCCTTTTGTAATTCAGTTACTATGCAACATGTTAGGTTCCTTACTACTCCAAAGAGTCACTAGACAATGTTTCCATAAACACATTGATTGCACAATCAATCTGTATCTTGCACGATACATTAGCCAATACTTTGTTGTACGCATTAGTTGCTTGTCATGATTAGGTACCTAAAACATGACTGCCTTGGTGCAAAGTGCAAGCAAGGGTCCCATTATTATTATTATTATTATTATTATTATTATTATTATGATAAATAAAAAGCAATATAAAGAGTGTTACACCACCAGACAAGGGCAATGCCAATTAGCAGTAGACTCATATATCATAATTACAACAATTATACAGAACAATTAGATGATATGTTTATTGATAGGCTACCAAGAAGATTCATTTATTTACTAAATAACCAAAACCTTGGACCAAGTCCATTGGTTGGACCAGCGAAAGCTACTTATAAAAAGCGCAAAACAAACACCAAATGGAACAACAATTTAGAATTACCAGGTCATTCAATCCTATCATGCAATCCTCATATAAGAAACACCAACCACCATTCAATCCTAACATGCAATCCTCGTGAAAACCAGGACCAACTATCTAAGAAGCAGAGACACGGATACAGATGCGGACACGAACAAGGCAATTTTAAAAAAATAGGGACACAGACACGGCAATAAAATATGTTTTCATATATTTTTATTTGCTATCTATATTAATATTACAACCATAAACAATCAATATTAACAAAAACTAACCCTAATTCCATATTTATATTTTAAAAACACTTTTAAATTCACAGTTACAGTTTATGTATATTTTTTATAGATGGTCTATTAAGTATTTAAATCTAAGAAAAAAATAATAAACATTCAACATTCAATATTCATCAAAAGCACTAAATAAAATGAGGGAAAAGACAACTTGGCATGTCCCTAAAAATAAATTAATTAAACAAGGGGGCACACTATGTGGTGAGTTACGTGTCCCCGAAATATCCGTGTGTCCTCGAAGTGTCTGTGTATCCAACACTGATACAATACTTGTTTTGACGTATCAGTGCTCCATAGCCAACTATCATGCAATCTTCATCATGATTAAATATCATTTGCATATCCATTTAAGAATGATCACTATAAAAGAAACACAGAGATGCCAAAAACCAAAACCCAAATTAGCAGACAAATTTAGAAAATAAAAAATTAATTAAAAAGAAAAAAGTTATTAAAGTTAATAATATTATGCTATTCTCAATATCAGAAATTTCACCAAGAAACATAAGAGCATTAAACCAACAACGAATGAACATGTAGTATTTATTAATCCAAAGAAATTTCATCTTATATTTCTTGAACATAGTGAGACAAGTCTCTTCAGACCCTTGGATTCGCTCCATCTCCATTTGACAAAGAATTATTTTCTTTTTCTTGGCGATGCATGTTTCAATTGACTGCATTAATTGTCTTTCCAAAGCTTTAATCTCTGCTTCTTCAATTTCTCTTCATATTAAAAAAATAAAAAATAAAAAACAGAAATGTTAGGAATTAATATAACAATGAAAGAGAAGCAAAATGAACAATTTGACATTGATGCCGTGCTACATTGCTGCCTCTTCCTAGCTAAGGATTTTGTTTTTTGTCAATTTTCTTCTGATAAGATGGATGGTTTTAATAGGGTTGTACATGTATGTGCTAAACAAGCCCTTACAATTAAGGTGACCAATAGTTGGAGCTTGTCATGTCCAGTATGGTGTTATCTTCTAGTGTAATCTTTAGTGACTGTTGGGTCTTTCAATAAAAAATCTTTTCCATTGTCAAAAATATATATATCATAAAAGAAATATGCCTTTATGATTTGGCCATTTGGTTCCATAAAAGCATAACCATCAACCTTAAACTAGACATAAACACAGGGAAATGTATACCTGGTTATCCTGTCACCAGTTAAACCACATGGTCACTCAACTGAAAGCATTTTCTGAAATATATGGTTACTCTTTTTTTTTTCTTTTCTTTTTTATGTGGTTAGTATATAGTCACATAAAAAACTTAACCTAATCAAAGAGTTGATATGATTAGAGATGCTTTGTTAATATTGTTCAAAATTGTAAAGAATCAAATGCAATAAGTGCCCATCATAGATTGCTTGTTTACACAAACATATATCTATATATAGTTCATCCATATATACCTACACAAATTTACATTTATTCTTTTGGGTAAGTCGCTGCAATAAGTGTCCATCATAGATTGCTTGTTTACACAAGCATATATCTATATATAGTTCATCTATATATACCTACACAAATTTACAATTTTTTCTTTTGTGTGTGTCGCTCCATGCTTTATGAATTTTATTTTCCACAAATGAGCTATATAACTCCCTCAAAGTTTAAGAACCAAGGAGTAATCTATACCACACCCCACGTAGATATTCATATTTTTTTATCCTCAATTGGTGTTGCTCTTTACTATTTCACAAAAATATTCATTTGTAATTTTGTCTTTCTTAATCTTTCCATACATTCATCTAAGCATCCTCATATCCACTACACTAATTTTATGAACATGTTTCTTAGTTGTCTAACAATTTGTCTTGTAAAACATCATTGGCATTATAGTTGTTTTATAAAAAACTTCTTTTCAATTTTATAGTATCCATCAATCACATAATAAACCAAAAGCACTCTACTTAACCTCATATTTGGATCCATGTTATCAAAAAAATGGCCCAAGCTTTACTACTGCACCAATCAATGGCCCCTATACAAACTTCTTCGGGCCAATAAGTTTTAATTTTGCTGCATTGTATTGATTTCTATCAATTTAAGTATCTAGTATCAACTATAAACATAAACTTTTATGGAAGGCTGCCTTCTTCCCTATCTCGATGAAAAAGTAAATAATAGACAACCATTAAACCTTAAATGAGATGATACTAAATCAGCTGCAAAACACATACTACGACAACAACTACTGGGGTAACAATAAAGAGCATTCAAAACATTACAGAAAGCAATTATATGCAGTAAGGCAGAAATAAGAAAATCCATGGGCAAAGCAATGATTTAACTCATTTTGCATCAATAAGGTGTGTTTTGTTCTTACCTAATGAAGAGGGATAGATAACTGTATGGCAGATTTACAGCTCCAAAACCAGATAAGACAGCCATGACAGTAACACCAATAACCCCAATTCTGCTGACCAGTTGAGGCATGGTGAAAAAACCTGAGAAGCAAAAACCATGATTTGTAAAATAATAATAATTAGACACAATAAAGTTATTTATTGTAAACAAGTTACTCAAAACCAATGTTACATGAATTGGGCAGAGCGTTAAGTGCGGGTATGTGTCTTACCTGTTAGATTCATGTACTTACCATGTTACCATGTCCAACAATTCTAGGACGCAACTAAATTTCATATTTTTTAATATTTTTTTATCCTTTTAGGCTAAAATGGTGTTTACAAACTAACATAAAGCGTGTTATGTATAAAATAAGAGTGTCCATTTTTGCCCTGTTTGGGAAGGTGGTTATTTTAATAGGCTATTTGGCCTTTTGGCTATTTTAGCCTGGCTAAAATAGTTGTGTTTGAGAAGAGAATTGGATTTTTTTTGTAGTTGGATGTGATATTTGTGAGAAAAAAAAGTAAAATGATTATGGATTTGATGTGACATTTTATCTTATTGGTTATTTTAACCTATTTTGTCTTTTAGTGCTATTTTAACCCAAAAAGCCAAAAAAGCCCCTTCCCAAACAAGGCCTTTATTATATAATAAACTCAACTATTTAGTCATACTTAATCTTAATGGGTACAACATACATGTCCAACTAAATATGCCAAACACATATCCCATACCCTTGACATGGGTGCTTCACAAATTTAGAAGAATCCATATAACATTGCTTAGAACAAATGTGTGACTAAAAATTAAAATAAAAATAAAAAAAGGAAGAAGAAACAGATAGAAATATGGCAAAACTTGTACCAAAGAACACATTTGTCTTGTCATTGTAATATGAATGGTACACAGGCAGGCATAACATGTAGAAAACAATCACCTTCGGAGCTACGTAATAGTACAAATGCAAGAAGTAGGAAGGCTTTGTTTTTTTGGGTGTGTGTGTGTGTGTGTGTTGTTAGAATTTCCCATCTTTACCTTCACCTTCACCTACTCCACTACACACTCCACTTCACCTACCTCCACACACACTCCACTTCACCTAACCCACTATCACCTCCACTACACCTACTACCACATTTTCTTCTATATATAGATTGTATAGGAATTGTAATTAAAATCAATCTTGTAAGACATCAATCAATCAATAATACAGTATTTTTTTAACATGGTATCAGAGCAGGTTTAGAACCTACTATTTTTTTTTCGCTTCACCGGCGGGCGGCAACCTCACCTTAGCCGTCCGCCGGACCTCAACCTATTCCGCTTGAATTGTTTACACATACCTTCATCAGTGGTTTTTAAAGTGCATCTTTGTATCCTCTTATCTCTGCTCGCGCATCCTTATACATGCGTTGGAGCAGAGCCAGTTGGGCGTTTAAATGCTGCACCTCATTTGTCCTACTCTGCAGCCGGTTCGACAAATTTGTGACCGCCGTCATGGTTTCCACGCATGACTTCAGAGTATACTGATTGGCCTCAATATCAGTTTGCACCGCCATTTTTTGCTCCACCGACCGCATCGGAAAGTTCAATGGAGCAAAACCAGAGGTGTTTGGTTGAGGTTCACTGGCCATCGCACCAGTTATTTCTCTTGTGGACTCGTTCAGTTCTGGAAAGAGCGTGAGCAGACCACGGGAAGAGGAGGCCATGTTCTGGGTAGCTGGACGGGAAGAAGAGGCCATGTTGCTGAGTGTTTCAGAGACGGGTTGGTTACAGAGTATTACAGAGTTTCTTTCTCAGCAAAGGAAGAGTTGTTTTCAGAGGATTTTCAGAAGTTTTTTTGTCTGCCTCAGCCTCAGCATCAACCTTGGTTAAATAGCGAGGCAGCCACGCGTATCGCGCGCCTCTTGCCGCCCGACAAACTGGCACGCCTTTTCATGGCACATCTTTTGATGAATTGGGCACGCCTTTTGATGGCACGCCTTTTGATGGCACGCCTTTTGATGGCACGCCTTTTGATGGCACGCCTTTTGATGGCACGCCTTTTGATGGCACGCCTTTTGATGGCACGCCTTTTGATGGCACGCCTTTTGATGGCACGCCTTTTGATGGCACGCCTTTTGATGGCACGCCTTTTGATGGCACGCCTTTTGATGGCACGCCTTTTGATGGCACGCCTTTTGATGGCACGCCTTTTGATGGCACGCCTTTTGATGGCACGCCTTTTGATGGCACGCCTTTTGATGGCACGCCTTTTGATGGCACGCCTTTTGATGGCACGCCTTTTGATGGCACGCCTTTTGATGGCACGCCTTTTGATGGCACGCCTTTTGATGGCACGCCTTTTGATGGCACGCCTTTTGATGGCACGCCTTTTGATGGCACGCCTTTTGATGGCACGCCTTTTGATGGCACGCCTTTTGATGGCACGCCTTTTGATGGCACGCCTTTTGATGGCACGCCTTTTGATGGCACGCCTTTTGATGGCACGCCTTTTGATGGCACGCCTTTTGATGGCACGCCTTTTGATGGCACGCCTTTTGATGGCACGCCTTTTGATGGCACGCCTTTTGATGGCACGCCTTTTGATGGCACGCCTTTTGATGGCACGCCTTTTGATGGCACGCCTTTTGATGGCACGCCTTTTGATGGCACGCCTTTTGATGGCACGCCTTTTGATGGCACGCCTTTTGATGGCACGCCTTTTGATGGCACGCCTTTTGATGGCACGCCTTTTGATGGCACGCCTTTTGATGGCACGCCTTTTGATGGCACGCCTTTTGATGGCACGCCTTTTGATGGCACGCCTTTTGATGGCACGCCTTTTGATGGCACGCCTTTTGATGGCACGCCCGGCACACCTTTTGATGAATTGGGCACGCCTTTTGATGGCACGCCTTTTGACAAAATTGGGCACACCTTTTGAGGGTGCAACTTTTTAATGGTCCGACAAGACTCTGTAAACTGTCCCGACATTTGATACCGGTTAGCTCCTTTATGGGTCCGACAAGACTCTGTAAACTGTCTCGACATTTGATTCCGGTTAGTTTTTTCAAGGGTCCGACAAGACTCTGTAAACTGTCCCGACATTGATTCCGGTTAGCTCCTTTATGGGTCCGACAAGACTGTGTAAACTGTCCCGACATTGATTCCGGTTAGTTTCTACAAGGGTCCAGCAAGACTCCGTAAACTGTCACACAATTGTCTTCTACAACGGTCCGACATGACCCCATAAACTGTCTTCTACAACGGTCCGACATGACCCCATAAACTGTCTTCTACATCGGTCTGACACCACCATACAGTGTCCTCTACAACGTTATGACACCCCATACAGTGTCTTCACCAACGGTCTGACACGACCATACAGTGTCTCCTATCCTTTTTTATTTTTATGTATTTTCTTGTTTTGTTACTCTCTCCAAACTCAAGTTGGTTAGTTTCTCTCCTCCTTGAGTTTGCGGGGGGCTGTTAGAATTTCCCATCTTTACCTTCACCTTCACCTACTCCACTACACACTCCACTTCACCTACCTCCACACACACTCCACTTCACCTAACCCACTATCACCTCCACTACACCTACTACCACATTTTCTTCTATATATAGATTGTATAGGAATTGTAATTAAAATCAATCTTGTAAGACATCAATCAATCAATAATACAGTATTTTTTTAACATGTGTGTTGGGGGGAAATAAAATTCAAACCTTTATCCGGTGAAGGCATAGGAAAGTGAATGCCCATGCGCCAAAAAGCATATAGAAATGCCAACAAGAATAAGATAGCACCAAGTGCAGCCCGTTCCATCCTCAAACCTGAGGTGAAGGCTCGACATTTAGTGAATAAAGTTTGTGTGCAACAAATTATCACTTACGGACTTGGTATAACATAATCTACAAACAAAATAGCATAAGTTCCCCAAAGCTGGATGAAACTAAACCTTGAAAGGAAAACAAGAAGAAAAAAAAAGACAGATTGAGAAATAGCATGAGCACACAACTTACCACTGCTGCGAAGCATCAAGTAACAGTGATAATAAGGTAACATGAAGACCAGTAACACTATTAAACAGAACAAATCCACCTTCCAGTTCATCCATCTTGCCCTACAGCCAATAGGGAAAAAAATGCCCTGAGAACAATATAAAGCTGTACAAAACAACCTATCAATCCATACATACACCTTGACTATGAAGGTAGGATTGTAGTAAAATCCACACTAACCACTCTTATGCGCTATTTGGTTCATTAGAATAAAATGGAATGGAATAAAATGGCCATTCCTTAGGCTCCCCCTATGGAATAATGATTCCCTCACAATAGCGAATGATGATTCCATTTGCAATGCATTTTTCATTATTTTTTTAGTCAACCAAACATGATAATGGACATTTTGATAGAATGGTCATTCTATTTCACTCCACTCCATTCAAGTGAACCACTCCACTCCATTCAAGTGAACCAAACACTACCTTATGGTCTGGTTTGGTTCAGTTTGGTTCGATTTAGGAGTAAACCAAGACCAAACCATCACCTACCATTCAAGAAAATTTGGAACCAAATCAAAACATGAAAAACTTGGAACCAATCCAAACCGAACCAGTAAAATGCAGTTTGGTTCGGTTTAGAACCACGATTTTTAGAAATTTTGTCATCATTTACAATATGATCATAAAATATTGCTTGCAACTTCCTCAAATATCAAACAATATGATATTATTTTATAAAGTAATAATGGTTTAGATAATGGTTTAGAATTAGTTACTACTACTATACAAAAACACGCTTGCAAAAATAGAAAATTGACAATTTATGTATAAAAATAGGATACTAATTAGCTATGAAGCACGGGTACAGATACGAGTACTGGTACTAGTACGATACGGGTACATTATTAAAAAAATATTTATTTTAAATTTGGAGTAATGCAAAAATTGATTAAATAATTTAATTTGTTAAGATCTAATCTACAATTTACATTTAATGTCAAAAGTAAAGGTGTAAACTAAAATTAAATGTCATTATATTAAATAACTTATAAACCATAGCTTAATTTTAAAATCATACTAAGCATAAAAATAAAAAAATAAAAAAAAGTTTAGTGAAAAGAATTTTATCTCTATAGTAGAAGAAAATATTATTTCAATTGAAATACGGGACAGCTTAGGTATATACTAGATACGTTTAAATACACCAAAAATTAAGAAGAAAAAAATTGAGTACATATGTATATAAAAGTATCATACGAAATACTATACGCCAATAAGTACACAATACGAATACACATAAACCAAATCAAACTAAACCTTAAGTCCCATCAAATGGGGTCGGTTACATGAATCCTTCTTCTCCACGCGGCCCTATCAAAGGCCATTTCATTAGTCAAATTAAGTAAATTCATATCTCTATTTATAATGCTAGTAAACGTTAATTTAGGCCTACCCCGTCCCCTAACACTTTCATCTATCGTTACAGTATCGCATCTCTTCACTACTGCCTCTGTTGGTCTCCGTTGAATATGACCAAACCATCTCAAACGATTCTCTCTCAACTTATCTTCTATCGGTGCTATTCCTACCCATTCCCGAATACACTCATTCCTAATCCTGTCCTGTCTAGTCTTACCACACATCCACCTTAGCATCCTCATCTCAGCCACACTCATCTTATCTACATGTTGTTTCTTTTTTTATTGGGGAAAAAAAAAAAGAGGAGTGTGACGTGCGTTTTGATTTATTCAAAGACTCTATTCACAATAAGAAGGTTTAGACGCATTTCTCCACTTACACCATCCTGCCTTAATCCTATGGGCCACATCTGTATCAATCTCTCCCGCTGTTGTGATAATCGACCCTAAATAGCGAAAATGTTCACTCTTAGGCAGTTCTTGGTTCTCAATCTTCACTTCTCCTCTGCTTTCATTGTTACTGTTACTAAATTTACACTCCATGTACTCTGTCTTAGTTCTGCTTATCCGAAATCCTTTAGATTCAAGAGTTTTTCTCCAAATCTCCAACTTTGTGTTAACTCCTTCTCTAGTCTCATCCACTAACACAATATCGTCTGCTAAAAGCATATACCATGGCACGTCATCCTGAATATTTATCGTCAACTCGTCCATAACTAAAGCAAAAAGATAAGGACTTAAGGTAAATCCTTGGTGTAACCCTACAGTGATAGGAAATTCATTTGTTTTTCCGACTGGCGATCTAATAGTGGTCACCACCCCTTCATACATGTCCCTAATCACGTCAATGTAGCCTTTTGTCACCGCTTTCTTCTCTAACGCCCACCATATTATATCTCGGGGCACTCTGTCATATGCTTTCTCAAGGTCGATAAACACCATATGAATGTCTCTTTTCTTTTCTTTATACTTTTCTATAACTCTCCTCAAAAGATAGATCGCTTCCATTGTTGACCTACCAGGCATAAACCCAAATTGACTCTCTGACACCTCTGTTATGTCTAGCAATCGGCGTTCCATCACCCTCTCCTACACTTTCATTATATGACACATTAGCTTAATTCCTCTATAGTTGTTACAATTCTGGACATCACCTTTATTCTTATGCATTGGCACTAAAATACTCTTCCTCCACTCATCTGGCATGTTCCTAGTCAACAAAATTTTGCTAAACAACCTAGTCAACCAAGCAACTCCCTTTTTCCAAACACTTCCAAGCTTCAATAGGGATATCATCAGGTCCTAAAGCCTTATTTGATTTCATCTTCTTAAGTGCAATCTCTACTTCAAAGTTCCTAATCCTGCGATAGAACCTATAGTCTTGGTTTATCGTATTACTGATTATTTCTTCCCCTATTGTCGTACTTCCATATTCCTCATTTAACAATTTCTCAAAATAATTCTTCCATCTTTCCTTAATCTCATCATACTTCACCAATACCTTAGAATCCTCACTCTTTATGCACTTTACTTGATTAAAATCTCTTGTTTTCCTCTCCTGTATCTTAGCAAGTTTGTATACCCTCTTCTCTCCCTCCTTACTATCTAGTCTAGTGTATAGGTCATCATAAACTTTCAACTTAGTCTCTCTTACTACTTTCTTGACCTCCTTATTAGCCAATCTATAGCTCTTAAGGTTTTCCTCAGTTCTATCCTTCTGTCACTTTTTAAAGTACCTCTTTTTTTGCCTTAACTACCGTTTGGACCTCTTCCCTCCACCACCAAGTTTCCCTAGAGCTGGGTCCCGTTCCTTTCGACTCTCCAAGCACTTCCCTTGAGATTCTCCTCATACAATTGGCCATTGAATTCCACATAGTATTAGCATCACCTTCTAAGTCTCAAGTACCTTCCTTATCCATTCGATTCTTAAATATTTCTAGTTTATCCCCTTTTAAGTCCCGCCATCTTGTCCTACGACGCCCCCCATCCTTCCTAACTTGGTATTACCCTCTAAAACATAAATCTAGTACCAAAATCCTATGTCGAGAGACCAGACTCTCACCAGGAATCACCTTACAATCATTGCATTTTAGGCAGTCCACTTTTCTCACTAAAAAATAATCTATTTGGCTCTTAACTAATCCACTCTTAAAGGTTATCAAATGCTCCTCCCTCTTCTTATACATAGTATTGGCCACCACCAGGTCAGAAGCCAACGCAAAATCTAAGATTTTCTGTCCAGCCTCATTTCTGTCACCAAAACCGTATCCACCATGCACCCTTTCATAACCTACTTTATCTATGCTCACATGGCCATTAAAATCTCCATCTATAACCAGGTTCTCTTCTACGGGTATCTCCTGTAAGATCTCATCCATTTGTTCCAAAAAAACCCTTTTAGTCTGATCGTCTAACCCTACTTGAGGGGCGTAAACAATACGAATACACATATTTGTCAAAATAACTATGCTTGATAGCTAATTAGTAACTTGAGTGTTCATGATGAGTAATAAATTTTATATATATATATATATATAAATATCTAAACAATCCGGTTTGGTTCTATACATTTTTGTAACTATAAACCCATGGACCAAACCATTAAGTGTGGTTTGCTTATTTTAAGAACCAAAACCAAACCGTGCGATTTGGTCTGGATTGGACCGGTTTGTGGTTTTTTCGGTTTTTTTGCTCAGCCCTATAAATCCCCAATAATTTACCAACCAAGCATTAACCATAAGGTAAAAATAATGCATTGCAAATTCTATTCTCCTATGTATGCTAGGATAATCAGTTGACTACATATAAGAATAGAATTTGCATTCATTAGTCTTTAAAAGGAAGCAACCCTAGCGGATTTCTAAGTTAAATTCGCCACTAATCATCAGCGATCGATCAATTGCCAAAACTAAAGTAAAGTAAAGTGATAATAAGTGCAAGACAAATATCAAATTGTATATTTTGTATTTACTCTTTGGAGAGAATGGGGATGATCTCGAATAAGACGAGCTGGAGGAGGTTGCAGGAGAAGGCGAAGACGACGCTGAAGATGATCTGAACGAGTGGCCTCTTCTCTTCGTACTCTTTGTAAAGTCTTCTGTTCAAGAACCACAGCCCCGCCCATCCCAGCATCGACAGCGATCCCACCACCACCACTCCCTCGTATATCGCTCTTCCCCATCCCAACCCCATTTCCAAAACACTCTCTCTCTCTCTCTGCTTTGTTTAATTACTAGTACTTTCTTACTACGAATACTAAAAAAATGCGCTTTATTGGGATGACCGGTGTGTTGTAGGAGATTTGGTTTGATTTCTTTTACTGCAGAAATTACAAAAATCAAATCCCAGATTTCAATTGTAACAAATGACAGTGAAAGTTTCAAATTTCTTTAGTTTTAATCGTCGTAAATATCAATAAAAATTATAATTAGACTCTTTTTTTTTTTCCCCATTTGCACAATTTGTTGTTCAATCCAAATTTATGGCGTTGGTTGGGAAGTTGTATCTCGTTAATATAGCTAATAAAGGTATAATAAGTTAAAATAGCTAATAAAGGTAAAATAAATTTAAATTTAAATTAGGAAAAATTAGTCTAAGGTTATTTTTTTATTTTTAGGCCTAGTTTGGAAAGACTAAATAAGTACACTTTTTGACTTTTTTTGTATTATGTGTAGAAAAAATAGAGAGGAGATGTTGATTGATGTGACCCAAAAAAGATAAAAAGATGAAATAAGTGCACTTTTTTCTTTGTAGCCAAACTTAGCCTTAGTAATGGAAGAGATTCATAATATTATTTTTTGATATCAAAGGTCCTAAACCCACACCATGTATCATATCAGAGAAATTTGACTCTCTATCTCCCCTATCAGTTGCTCTAGTTCTCCGGTGGATGGTGATAGTCGCAGGTTGGTAACATGTCATTGGTGAGATCGTGTGTCGCTGGAGTGTTGCTATGGTTTGGAGATAGTCGCCTGCAGTGTGTCTATGACACATCGGGTGAGGTCAGTGTATCCTGGTTCGTTTGGTGTGGGTGTCCAAGCTGGTAAATATGGAGATTCATGTTCTATTGTTCCAAGTCGGTGGTTCCGCCATGCATGGTAGTGGTTCAGCGGTGCTATTGATTTCCGTTCCAACGCGAGGTGAAGCGTGGGTCTATTTCTGCACATGCTAGCTGGTTGATGGCTTTGGTACATGGGGAAGTGTATACACATGGGTGATTTTTCAGCCCACGGTTTGTTCAAAACCAGCTTTTGGTCTCTTCAGAGCTGCGTGCTATATACACCATCTCTTTACGAATTTCTCTGGGTTTGGAAAATTTCTTTGAAGGCCAGAGAAGGAAAATTTCTCTAAAAAGAATGGAAGACTAGAGAAATGTTCAAATTTTCTTTAGAGAGTTGAGTCTAGGAGAGGCAGGGAAGGCAGAGAAATTTGTTTAATTTTCTCTGCCTTTAATTGAGTAAAATTGATAAAGTCAATTTTCTTTTGGTTTGGGAAGTCCAGAATTTATTAATTTTCTCTGGTTTGAAAATTGGTCAAACTGAACCCAGAGAAATTTGAATTTTCTCTGGGTTGAATACGGAGAAATTCTTTAGAAGTCCAGAATTTCCCTGGACAAAATTTCTCTGGATCAAATTGAGGGACCTTAGACATTATAAAAATATATGTCATTTATGCTATAAAATCTTAATACCAAGGACCTTAAAAAAAAAAAAACCTTTAAATTATGCGTATTTTATTTATTTTTTTCACAACCATCAAATTAAATAATAAAAAAATGTTAATTATAATTCTAAATACAACTTTTTTTTTTAATTAGACTATAATAGTAAAAAAAAAACAAACAAACAACTAACTAAAATACCTTATTTTCAAACAATCACATCAAAATATAATTATTCTTTTATCTGTCATCAAAATTTACAAAGGGAGAGTGACATTTAGAAAATAGAAGAGAAAAAAGTGTAGACAATTAGAAAAGAAAAGAAAAAAAATGTATAAAATATAAGTGAAATATAATTACATTTCACTTTTTTTTTTTCTTTCTAAATTTTTTCTCTAATCAAATACAGCACAAATATATTAGTCTTAGATATAAATATTTATATATTATACAAATTTGCCCCTCTAGAAAAAAATTCAAAATTTTATAACCAGCCTCTCAAGATTTGTTTAACTCAGAACATCCACATTAGCCAAAATAAAATTTGAGTCAAATTATAATTAAAAAACTACTTTTCTATTTTAGCTAGCATCTTTTGGATATACATGTACGAGTACAAAATAATTTTCACTCATATAATCATGTTGATTAAGCTTATGCTCCTCCAAATGTCATCGTAACACTTAAAATCACAAACGTGAGTTGGTCGGCGGGTGTGTGCCAGAAACCGCTCTGATGCCTAAGTCAACAAGTAGACTAAGGAGATAAAAGATCTGTGAATTCGAAAGTAAGAATTACAATATTTGAGATTAGGGTTTAGTTTGAGCTTTTATAGATTCTGCATAGCACAATCCTAACAGGACTCTAATTCTCCTTTGTGGAGTCCTCATAGGAACCACATTCCTGAAGGATAATGCTTATCATTTAGCACCCTCCTTACTACAAGCCAAGTGAGATAGCACAACTCTTTATTCGGCTTTTCGCCGTGTAACCAGACTACTTTTACTCTATCTGCCACTGGTTTATCCATGCAGCCTACAGCACCGTGCACATATTGCATGGCGTGCCACCATGCTGACATTGCATGGCTCTCCTCCTATCTCGGTCAAGGTTCATTCCTTGGTTTCTTTGGACCACCTTCCCATTTAGCTCGGTTAAAATGTTGACCACCACTATGAGATAGATAAGTCCAAGAATATGTGATCATTTACTAGTCCGGTCAACTATCTTTGACCAGCCTAACTCTTTGTTCAGTCCAAAGCCAAGCTAACTCCAAGACATAGCTCGACCCAAACTTCAAGGCTGCTTCCATTTAGCTTAGCCCAATTTGGTTACACAAATTATCCTCTCAATTGTCTCTTAATTCCATCTGCAGCGCATGAGCTAAAATACTCATCCCTACTGAGCTAGTCAAGGTCGTTCGGTCAGGACTCCAGCCTGGTTCCAAGCAGTCATGTCCTTCGTATAGCATGTTCTCTCAGCATTTTAACATCGTGTCCTTTTTAGGACACCTGGCTTATACTAATTGACCCCATGCACTGTTCTAGTCATCATGCTTTAGCTCCTAAATTTGAAATCATTGTGCCTTTTAGCCTTCAACATATATATAATCGAGACATATGCCTCTTGTCCTCCACTGTTCATCTTCTCCAACTGTGAACCCTAAACCAGAGCCCAAACCTTTCACATTCTTGCATTCCTGTCTCATATCGTAGCACATCTATCGTTCCAGTAAACTCGCAATCACACGAAGACACTTTCTTGCCGATTGAAATCCGATTTCGGGTCTCAAATCCATAAGTTTTATACTCCTTTTGGTGTTTTGCTATTGTTATTTACACTATTCTTCATGTTCTTAATGTTTGATGCATAAATACACCCCATAAATGCCACTGCGATTCCAACAATAACTGAAACGGGTGCTGATTAAAGCCTAAAACTGATTTAGATTCTAGAGAATCCCTAAAACTTCCATTCTCTGAGGTGAACTCCAAGTGAGCTAGGAAAAACCCATCACAAAATAGGCACTATTCTGTACAGTCCCTCCCAATTAGGTCCCAATTTGCTATCACCAGGCACCAAAGTGTTCCCCATAACTTTGCGTAGAACCCAATCTCATACCTTGAACTACCTTGGATGTACTGCCTTATTATACTTTCTGGACAACTTCTACTGATATGAAGCTATATAAATCAGGGCTCTCTCTCTTCTTTCTTTAGTGAGGTTGAGTTCCATGGCTATTGTTTTGCCGTTCAAATCTGGATCAAAGCTCTCGCTTCGGATGGTGGGAAGACCAATCTCTAGGAAAATGACAATTTCCATGCCATAAGCTAGAGCAAACGGTGTCTCCCTGGTCGAACATCTTATAGTAGTTCGGTAGGCTCATAGTGCGTGGGGGAGCTCTTTAACCTACTTTCCTTTCGCCTTTTCTAACATTTTCTTCAAGTCGTCCAAGATCACCTTGTTCAATGTTTCGGCCTGACTGTTGGCTTGTGGGTAAGCCAATGTGGAGTTGTAGAACTTTATCTTGTGCTTTTTACAGAAGCCTTTGAATATCCTCCCATCAAACTGACTGTCGTTGTATGATATTAATGCCTTTGAAATTCCAAACCGAGTGATGATGTTCTGCCAAACAAACTTTTTGACATCATTCTCGTTGATAGATATCAGTGCCTCTGCTTTAACCCACTTTGTGAAGTAGTCAATTGTCGCAATGAAGAACTTCTTGTTCCTCAAGAGGTTGGGAGTGGTCCCACTATGTCTAAACCCCAAATTGCAAAAAGCTAATGGCTGGTCAAAGGTAAGAGTTCTTTAGCTGGTTGGTGAATTTGGTGCGCAAACTTTTGGTACTTTTTGCATTTCCTAACATACTTCTCGATAAGCATGGCCACTAATATCCTTACGAGATAGCTCAGTAAGCCAGTAACCTCTCCCATTGATGACTTCCACATATTCTTTGGTGAATTTCAAACAAGAAGGCCTCAACCTTGCTAGGATATACGCACTTCATGTATGGCCCTGTGAATGACTTTTTATACAATTCTGGATATAAGGAAATCCAGAACCGCTGTGATTTTGCTCGAATTTTTTTTGCCTCCTTCTTATGTTTTGGCAAAATCCTATCCTTTAAGAAAGTGATGATGGGGTTCATCCAAGAAGGTCATAACTGGAGGCATAATATGTCATGACTTCAACCCGCCCCAAACAAGATAATGAGGTGACCGGCTAGTAGTACCTGACTACCAAAGGTCTAACTGAACAAAAATCAAATCAAATCAAATTGGACTCTCATGATAATTAGAGAAGTTCCTTAAATAGAAAATGTAGAAGCTATTAATTACTTATATTGAGTACAATTGAAACATCCATTCAGAGTAGTGCTTAGTTATATGAAATGAAACATACATCATTCTTAATTACATATTCTTTTAAAGAAAAATACGATATATACATAACATTTTACAACTTCCTTGACTCTAGCATATATACAAAAACTCTTTGGAGCTATCCTCTTCATAATGCTTCTCTTGCATCTACATATATATAGGGTGATGGATGAGCCATTGCCCAATGAATAATATTAAAGTAAAGTGGTAAATAAATGAATTCCAAATATTTGCAAGATCCATTATGCTTCTTAATTCCAAAAACATTCAAATAATTTATACAATAACTTATAATCAAAACATGATAACATGGTACATCCAATAGAGTATTCATCCAACTAAACATGGTTGTAAAAAGGAGAT